CCAAGAAATCATGTCAAGTGGTAAAAGCAGAGTGCAGGTCAGTGTACGAAAGAGAGGAACAGGGGCAGACACATATATTTAAGAATTCTTGTGTACACACAAATTGTCTTTGGAAGAACATAGAAAATCCAGGAATAATAGTTGTCTCTGGGGACAGACTGAAAAACTGAGGGACAGTGGTAGAGGAAAGTTGCTTGTACTGTATATCTTTGTGCTGTTTTTATTTGGATTAGCCATATCTATGCATTAATGCCATATGTGCATTTATGTGTGCATAAATATATATATACATTATATATAATATGTACATCTCCATTGTGTATTTTTTAACACCAATGACAACAACATGAAGCCCAGATGGGTTGAGTGTCTTCTCATGCGGTAGGGTCTTCATTTTACCTAGTGTCCATGGGGAATGGATTTTCATGATGGTAAATTTTCCAGATACATTACAGGAATCAAAACTCTTTAAGAACCTTTGCTAAAAAAAATAAATAAATAAATAACCTTTGCTAAAGGAAGCTTATATAAAATGTGTAATAGTCTTCCATATTTCTTCGGGTAAAGAATGTGGAATGTGGGTGAACGTTTCCTGGCTGGCTCTCTGCCCCCCGCACTGCGGTCCCCTCTCTGCAAAGTCTCTCGTCCTCTGCCAGGTGCCACCTGACATGCAGTGTGTGAGCCACAGAGATGGGACTGTCATTTCCAGACCTAGTGCGAGGAGCCTCTTCCCAGGCTGTGCAGCTGGGGGGGGGGGGTTGGGGGCAGGTGTTCTGGATGTCATGATGCTATGTGCTCACACGCCAAGGCCCGGCTGGCCGGGACATGGGACATTCGGACCTGTAGGAACAAGGGTAGCTCTTCCCTCTGCCTGCCATCCCGCTGTCCCGCCTCAGAGCCTCTGTGCTGACTTCTGTGGCCTTAGGCAAGGCGGGAAGCTTCTCTGGACCTCTGCTGCCTGGGCTGGAAAAGGAAGGTGCTGCCCCCCACCTCACTGGCCCGGTTGCAGTGATTCTGGTGCCTGCGACAGGAGCCGGTCCCCGTTTTGCCCCCCACCTCCGTCCCACCGCCTGGCATATTCCGTCCAGACTCAGAGGCTCTCGGTTATCCCAATGTGGCCTCCTTGTGTTCCCCTCTGCTGTTGCTTTGCTGCCAAGCCAGGCGATTCCCAAGGATACCCCGTTCTGCACACTCGGCTGGATGGGGGATAGCATCCAAGAAGCACGGGTCAGTGAGGCCTTCCCTCAAGGATTTCATTCCACACAAGGGCTTTTCAGAGAAACGTTTGCCACCACAGTGCTGCTCAAGGCCTCTCCAGAACCTCCCACTCCCACACGTTCTAGGACACCTTCCTTGGCAGGACTCCCCACCATGCAAAGGGGGAGCCCCATGAGACAGCAGCACGGAGGAGAACCATCTGGACTGCCAACTCCTTGAGGCCGGGATCCCATACTGGCTTTGGCATTTGCAAACTGTGCCACCTCGGGAAAGCCACCTCATCTCAAGTTTTGAACCTCGGTTTCTACAACTGTAAAATGGGGGTGATAATAGGAGTGTCCATTTCCTGAACTCATTTCTCAGATTGATGAACTGACACACGGAGTGTGCCCGGTGTGGTCTGGCCATTGTATGTGCTCAGTGAGTGGAGGACGGAGTCCACAACCACTACCGGCTACAGGAGGAGCCCTGGTGCCATTCAATTCATCGCACTGAGGTGGCTCCGTGCAGGGCCTCTTCTCCTCAGGAGGCCTGTGGGCAGGGGCAGCAGGAGCTGGATTGGCTGGACCACCTGTCTCCAGGCCAGAGGGCCCCAGGGGCTTGGACTGAGCACCTGCTCCAGCCTGGGAAGGGCTGCACTATCAGACCCTCAGCCGTTCTTGGAGCACTGCCTGGTCCCCAACTCCCCTCAAGGGGAAACCTCGGGGCTGACCTGCTTTGGACTCGGTTTTCAGGTGATGGGAAAGCTACCCAAGGAGCTTGGAGGCAAGCTGTAGCTAAGCGGCAAGAGCTTGGGACTGGGTTCCTTAGGAGGACGCGAGATCCTCTACTGTCCGCAGCCCTGGAGTCTAGCAAACCCATGCCCTCCGTGGTGCTGAGCTTCTCAAAGGGACAGTTAGTGAGGGCAAGTGGGGGTACTCTGGACGGCTCTAAGATGCAACGGCTGTTTTCTTGGGGCAGCAATTTTATTTGAAGATTTAGAGGAAGAAAAACAAGTGTGAACTGCAGCAAAAAAGATACTCTGTGCTCCTTTTTTCTCCCTGGGGGGACAGCAAGAACACATCTCAGAAAAAAAAAAATAAAATAAAAAAAAATAAAAAAAAAAAAAAGAACACATCTCAGAGCTGAAGTCAGCTGCCCCTGAACAACCACCCCCGCGATCGTTCTATCTTCCCCTCTTCCCAGAGACGCTTTGGAAGCCGTCTCTGAGAGGAAAGAGCCCAGGCTGGAAGCAGCCTGAACCCTGTGTGCCCGAGAGTCCTCCTGGGTCATGTCAGATTTGCACGTGCAGAAAAAGAGCCCTCCACTGGGTTCAATCACTGTGATTTGGGGGATTGGTTGTTATTTCAGCCTCACCAAGCCTACCCTGACCCCAATAAGGATAAAATATGGAGCAGAAGGCAGTATTTATAGGACTTTTTTTTAAGATTTTATTTATTTATTCATAGACTCAGAGAGAGAGGCAGAGACACAAGCGGAGGGAGAGGGAGAAACAGGCTCCATGCAGGGAGCCCGACGTGGGACTCGATCCCGGGTCTCCAGGATCACACCCCAGGCTACAGGCGGCGCCAAACCGCTGAGCCACCCGGGCTGCCCTTTGTAGGGCTTTTAGAGCTAAAGCATGAGGCTTCAAATAAGTGACGGCTTGCAGGTGGCCTCCTTGGGCCACACCTGTGGGCCCTTGACCTGCCACAGTCTGCACTGTTATTTCACCCCAGTACAGCCAGCGATAGACCCAGTGACCCAGTGATGCCACAGTGGCTGGCTCCAGAAATAGTGCAAAGCAGATTTAAACTACCAGTGAGGAGCTACTAAGGTGGAGTGTTTCAGATCACATCTCAAGTGTCTCATGATTAAAGCCAAGTGAGAAATGAGCTCAGCACCGGCCTCCAGGCCCCTCCCCACCCAAATATTCTATGGTGGGTGGGAGAAGCTGGTTGAATCCGGGGGAGCCCAGAACCTCCCTTGCGTCCTGGTGTGAACCAGCCTAGGGACTGAGGACTGCCGCCAGCATGACACACATGTTCCAGGTGTCCGAGTGGCTGGGGAAGTGGTAGGGTCACGGCTGGTCAGGGTGGACATGCCACTGTGGTTGTAACTCAGGACAAGTTATTTCTCCAAGGTCCCCAGCTTTGTCAAGTGTGGAAAATTGGAAGAGATGATGATGGCATTTGAAGCTTTTTCCTCACCTACAAGCTCCACCTGTACAACAGGTTACAGCTGAGAAGCACTATGGACTGTAGGTTAAAGCTCCTGACCTCTAGGGGCCTCTAGGGGCCTCTAGGCCCCCTGGGCTGGCACTAGCTTCTGCTCTTTATTTTTTTAAATACATTTTATTTATTTATTTATTTATTCATGAGAGACAGAGAGAGAGGCAGAGAGAGAAGCAGAGAGAGAAGCAGGCTCCATGCTGGGAGCCCGACGTGGGACGCGATCTCAGGTCTCCAGGATCACGCCCTGGGCTAAAGGTGGTGCTAAACCGCTGGGCCACCGGGGCTGCCCTAGCTTCTACTCTTTAGATTCCCTCCCTGAGGAGGCGTCAGCTCACATGGCTAACTTGCTGGGCATTCTGGGCAAGGCGCTTCCCCTCTCTGGGCTTCCCTCGATTTGTTTCTAAGACTGCCTGGTTGCAACATAGCAACCGAGGATACAATCTTATAACGAAGTCCATTATGTATCAGAGATAAAACTGGAGCTGCTAGCGCCAGAGCTGGAGGTGGGGACTGAGCCCTTAGGGGCACCAGCAATGCTCCAGGACTCCCAGGGGCTCCGGGGAAGGCAGATGTGTGGAAAGACCCCTGCAGCCCTGGAGTCCCCCACTCATTCCCCCAAAGATGTGCTGGCCAAGGCTATTGTAGCCTCTCAGGCTGCTGGGCGGCCTCCTGAAGCCTCTGCCACAAGGCTGAGCCACTACCTGCGGACCCGGGAGCGCAGGACCAATGGGGCTGGCATAGAGTCGGAACACAAGGACCGCCTAGTGTCTGAATGTTTCCTAGAATGGCACAGCCGGGGTCCGAAGAACAAAGGAGTTTCCTGGGGTCAGAGCCTGCCTGCGCAGCCCTGTCACTGAGGCGGGGAGCCAGAGGGGCCTGTGAAATGAACACGTTCTCAGTATCACTGAGTGGTGGGTTTTCAGGGGGCCAGGATCCCAATGTAACCTCGGGCTATCTGCTTTTCACTTTCCACGAGCGGTGCAGTCTGGGAAATGTTCAGAGCAGACATAGGCTGCTCCCAGGGGAGATGGGGTGCCAGGAAGGGGGAGGACCTATGTTCCCAGGGAAGGAGCTGCCAGGTGAGCCAGCAGTACCAGGAGTCACCTTTCCCATGCAGCTAGAAAGGCTCAGTTCTCCAGGGGGGGTACCCTCCCTCACCCGCCAGGGGAGAGCTCACCATGCATACCTCCTCAGCCCAGAGCTGCAGGCAGTGTGGCTGCTGCATACAGCCTGGGAAGGGCACCCCCCTCCCTCTCAGGGCAGTTGTCCCGCCACATGGTCTCTGACAGGTGGCCGAACTCTGGGAGCGTGTCACTCTTTCCCTAGGGGAGACTGTCCTTAGCAGACCGGGGGTGGGGGGGTGTTCAAACCCCTCCCTCCCTCCCTCCATCTCCCCTAGGCTCTCACACTTTCCTTGAGGCAAAGTTTAGCTTCCTAGGCAAACAGGAACCATTAGGAGAGGAACAAATTAAAAGGAACCCTTTTCTCACCAATTGACCCAAAATGAACAAGCATTGTCCACCCCGGCGGATTTGCTGTGAAAACGTATCACGCGGAAGAAACCGTCAATACTTTGCAGCCGTTTTGACAATGAGCCTGTGTTTAGCAACACTCAGCTTTGTTTTATTATTGCATTTTACAAAGTTACCAAGACAACTGAGGCCAAGTAGCAGAACCTTGACTTTATGTGCCATGAAAATTTAATAAAGAATATTCAAAGGCTTTTAAGAGGCAGGAGCCACAGCCTAGAGCAAAGCCCTGCCCACCACCAGGAGGATGGCTCAGGCTCGGGCCTCCCCTGGACCTTGAGGAGGAGCCCCTCTGTCAGGGACACCCAGGTGGGTGCAAGTACTCCCCGGCATCTGTCTTGTTCTAGCACATTCAGGCTGGTCCTTCTCTCAACAGACATTTGTTACGGTAGATTCTGGGCTCCAAGTCCCCTGACAGGCCTCTTATATTCATGATGACATGATTGCCACTATAGGGGCCTGAAATAGGCCTGAGAGGTGAAGTGGGGTTGGTGCGCGGTCACACCTCGACAGAGCCACAGGCACAGCAGAAGCAGGTCTTCGTTTCCCAATTGTGATGCAAGAGGTTCTGCAGGGGAAATACCCCTGGCTGGCTTCCTCCATCACATCTGTGGCCTTGCTCCTGCAGCCTAGGGGTGCCCCAGGGAAGCCCCGGTGAGCAGCACCCAATGTCCCCATGGCCCCTACGGTCCTGGTGGGAATCTCGGCAAGCACCATGAATGGCAGAGGAAATGTTTCCCAGGAGCCCCTTGGTGTTACCCAGACTGCCCGGAACCCTTTCCCTTTGCTCTCTAAATAAGACTCAGAAGGAAATTGCCAGAAATGGGGGAATCATCAGTGATTTTGCCATTTTATACTAAAAAGCCGGATGGCACTGTGTGTCTGTGTGAGTGCATGTGCGTGCATGCGTAAGCATTGTGCTGCCTGGTTTTCCTAGTTATAGAAACACCAAAACTCTTGGTCACTGGAGATGAAGGTAATGGAGTAGGCTGAGTGTCCCACAAAGCTCCTTTGTCCCTGGGAATGGAGGCAAAATTTGGATTTATTTCACAAGGGAGAAATTCATATGCCATCTGGGAAAACCCCTCTCCAATTCATCACACCAAACAGGCGACTGGAAAAAAATGTCAGTCAAGGCGAGGTGGGTTTCAGGTAATTGAGCTCGCTGAGAGAGAGAGGAAAACAGGTCCCGGGCCACCGGGAGCACCAGCTCCCTGGCAAGGGGTCTCATCAATTCTGAGCTTTGAGGGAAAGTGCTCAATGCCGGCCATTTCAAACCCAGCTTTCAATTATAGGGCCAAGGAGTTTAGGACATTAATCAAGAAGTGAAAAAAAAAAAAAAGATAAAAGAAAAAAGAAGGAAGCTATTTTGGTGTTACACTCTGCCAATCACAAGGCAAAGTCCAGGTGTTAGAGCCACAGCAGAGGCCGTTCTTCAGCGCACGGGTGGCTTCAAGGTAAGGATAAAGGGCAGCTTGAGAGGGAGAGGAGTGGACTGTTTGGCTTCATTTGTCTTGGTGCATTTGAGAAGGAAAGTTATTTGTTCCTCCCTCCACACTGTGGAAAACCAGAAGTGGTCTGAAGATAGCACGGCATGAACAGCACTTTGACTTGCAAAACACTTCTGTGTGTATTTGTAGCTTGCTGCACAAGAGGGGGTGCAGATGGGGGTGGGGGGCGGTCCAGACCTGAACCCAGGACAAGAGGATGAAGGACGAAGGAAAGACTGCCCAGGGTTAGAGGAGCCACTGTGTGCTCAGGATCCTGGAACAGCTGCGGTGCCCCGGGGAGCCCAGGAGCCAGCTGAGGACGTGAGGTGTTCAGTGAATCCCCGTGGCAGAGTCACTTTGGCAAGGTTTCAATGTCCAGGATTCTCCAGGGCACTCACAGGCTCGGAGGGGAAAGAGCAGTGTAACGCCGCCTCCCCTGGGACCTGCTGAACATGTGTGCGACTGCAGCGAGCACCTGCTGGCCCCCCAGTCATGCTCCAGGGGCCCGCATGGGTCCAACTCCTGCCTCACCTGCCAGAACTTGGAATTTGGTGGGAGTTTGCCATACAGCAAACTGGAACTTTCCAGATCCTCACAAGGAGATGGGGGGAACAGTTCATTCTGTATGGGGGATTGAAGTGGGTTGTATGAGCTGGACCTTGAAGATAAGTGTCTGTTGGATGGAGGGAGGCGATCCAGGCACAGGGACCAGGAAGCACAAGGGTGGGAGAGCTGGGAGTGGGGCCTCGCCCTGGGCCTCTGCCACCACGGCAGGACCCAGCATGTTCTCAACAATGGACAGCGAGCGCCCTGGGAGTGTGGTGGCAGGGACAGGGTGGAGGCTGCTCCCTGAGGCGTGGAGGCTAGGCAGAGCTTTAGGATGGGAAGGAAGGAAGGGGCTGGATTACGAGCAGCCTTGAATGTTGGGTTAAGGAGCATGAGCTTTATCTGGACAGAGAGGATGGGTTGATCGAATTAGAAGATCATGTGGTCAGCTCTGGAGTTCTCTGAATTCCTCCGGGGCCACTAGGGATGAAGGATGGAGGACGAGTTGAGGAGGATGAAAGGTAGGAGATGATGAAGTCAAAGCTGGGGAGAGTGAACAGGGCCCCCCCAGAAGAAACAAGAGGGCACTTGTTTGGGGCTAGAGGCTTCTGTCTCCAGGACACCCTGCCTTCACATGTGGGGAGGGGCCTGTGAGGGCCCGTGAGTGTGGCCAGCTGCCCTGGATCTAACGCACCTTTATAGGGACCAACCATGGGCTCCATGCTGGCCAGGCTGTGAGGACCAAAATCCTGGCTGTGACAGCCGCAAAGCCAAGCACATCTCCTAGGAGGATGGAAGGAGGGGAGCAGGAAAGCCAGTGTGGAAGAGGAGGGGGGCTGACCGGTACCCTACAAGGAGCAAGACAGGCATGGCAGAAAAGGGTGGGGGGCCCAGTGGTGTACCCCATGCTGAGATGAGCTGAGCTTAATCTCCATTCACTGAACCCACCCTAGAGCCCCCGCCTTTTGGGGTCTCTGGCCAGTGGAACAGTGAGGGGTGGTGTGTGTAAGAATCAGCAGGAGGGGGAAGGAGAGGCACCAGGGCAGAGAAGAGGCCAGGAGTGCATCCTGAGCACCGTGGCCCAGAAATGGGATGACACAGGGCAAAGCACAGGAGGCTCAGCCTCTCATGGGGCATATCTGGACCCTGGCTCCCTGGCTCCTTGGCTCCAGTTCCTCTCCTCCAGGAGAAAGAAAATGTACCTGCGACCTACCTGCAAATTTCCAAGGGGCTTAACAAGTGGGAGTTCCTCAGGGCATGGGAAGGTGGGGACATGTCCCAGGCCTTACTCTGATAGGGAGGAGCCTCTAACTCTCCCTGCTCAGTGGCACTGAGTGAAAAGGGCCCATATGTCACTCAGTGGCCTCTTGTAAAGCCTCATTCCACACCTCAGTGTGGGGAGCAGGGCTTAGACCCTGTCTGCAGAAGAGGGGCTCCTTCCTGACAGTGACCCTGGGGGGCAGAGCAGAGCCACCTGCCTACAGATGACAGGGAGGGTGGGGGACAGGGACAGGACACTCCTCAACGTGAGAACTGACATTTTCAAATCACCCCAAACCATGAGGCTCAAATTCAACCCTTGCACAATGTCTTCCCCAGAACATCCAATGTGTTTGAAAACTGCACTCCCCTTGAGCCCGTGAATGCTTTCTGAAAACCAAGTCAGAGCTTGGTTGCAAAGACCCTTTGCAGCTCCCAGCTGGTGACAAATGTGAGAGACATGTTTACGGGGGTCTTTCACTGCGAAGCCATTTGCTCAGCACCAACAGAGATTCAGGAATGGCTGGGGGTGGGGTGGGGGGGTCTTCCAAGTCGGTTTCCCTCAGGGCAGACCATTCAGGAGCATGGACTGTCCCAGCCCCTACCCCCAGGCTGCAGGAGGGTGGGCAGGGCCCTGAGGGACACGGGTAGCCCCAGAGCAGAGGGATGGGAGCTGGAATCACGCCCCTGTCCCTCCTGGGGACATAAAGGAAATGTGGCTCTGGGGCCAACACACAGAACTGGACCAAGCCTGATGCTACCACGCGACCCCCAGCCCTCTGTTTCCCCATCTGAAAATGGGAACAGCATTCTGAGACTGTGAGGTCTCAAGGACCATCAGCTTGATTCTGTGAGGAATCAAGCTGATGACACCTCTAGAATGTTCCTACGCAAGACGACGCAAGACGCACTCGCTGTGCCCCACATTCCTCCTGCCCCTCCCAGCCTTCCTGCTGTCTGTTTGGGAAAACAAAGTCATTGCAGGCAGCTCTTGTCACCAAACAGCTCAGAGTGTGTTCTGCAGTGCTTGGCTTCCCAAAACACCACCTTCGGCTGCCTCCGAGCCTTCCTTCGCCTGGGGACACAGATGCGGACGGGCAAAGGGTCTCGTGGAAGAGAGAGCATGGCCTTTCCTCTTCCTCACACCACGTCTGCCACCTGAGCTTCTGTCATCCTGCTCCTGCACACAGCGGCCCTCACCAGGGTCTCCCTGTCCTCCCCTCGGAGCCCCTCCTCCCATCCAGCCCCCTCCCCCCTTTGCTTGCTATCAGCCTGCTGCCCTTGTGGCCTTCTATCCAAGGACAGTCGGGGTGGGGGTGGGGGTGGGGGCGGGCGTTGACAATCAGAAGCCCCGGACCGTGGGGCTCCTGCTTTGGGGTCAAGGTCAAACAAAATCCAACAAAATGACCTGCGAGGCTCCTTCAGCGCTGAGACTCTGAAAACCGTACTTAGTTACTTCTTGGTTAATTATTTCTTAATTAATAACAAAGCGAACATTGCAGCAACAGTCAAGCTAAAGAAATAAATGAGGCCAGTCTGTTAACAGCACCCATAGAGCACATGATTGGGACATGATTCGTTCTCACAGCTCGGTGGCAGGAAATAGACGTGATGTCTGGATGGTGGCTCTCGGAGGCCGCCACATCCAGGCCTCAGCTTCCTCCGGCCCTTTCCTTGCCGCGGCCCAGGCCAGGATCGCTGGGCCCTGTGCCCCCAACGCAACAGTTTTACCCTGGTGGTTGCTTTCTGGGAGCCCAGAATAGAAGATGCCATCTGTCACGTTTGGGGATGTCATATGTCCACCAGTGACTCATAAATAGTTGGGCCACCAAGATGGAGGCGGTGGGAGTCGTCAGCCTTGGCAAGCACAGCTGAGCAGGACACGGAGACAAGACGCAGTGCTCTCCAGCAGGAGCCCTCCGCAGCCTGCCCTCTCTCCACAGGCAGGAAGCCCAGAAGTTTCTCTTCAGCCCCGAAGGGCTTGCTCTTTACTGGCAGCATCAGCAGCTGTCAGGACAGTGCGTGTCTGGGACGGGAGGACTTGTGGGCACTGTTTGTGCAGCATGGGGGGTGGCCCTCCACCTGCTGGGCTGAGGGGGTGGCCCCCTGGGGAGTGCTGCTGCCCGGGGCCCGGACCCCCGCTGTGCTGCTCCTGCCGCACACCAGGCGCCTTTCATCCAGCAGGGACAGGTGGTACTCACAAAGGTCAATCAGTGAGGCCACCTGCTCATGGAGTGGCAGCATCTTGAACTTCCTCTGGGCCAGGTAAAAGAAAGCCTCGACGAAGGCCTGCAAGCACATGCCTGTGGACCAAGAGATGGGCATTAACGGGGTGTGCATGCCAAAGCTGCCCAGTATGCTGCCCTGGGGAGGCCCTACCCCAGCCACCAGGCTTCTTCCTCACCACTGTTTCCATTCTGGAAACTTTAGCTTCTAGGTTAACCCCCAGAGTGCCTACCTTGCGCCAGGCACCCCCTGGGCATTCAATCCCTAATCAGTCCTATGAGGTGGGCTGAGTTAACTGTCTTATAGATGAGGAAACTAAGTCTCAGACAAGTGGAGGTAGCTGGGCAAAGTCACATGGGTAGAAAGTGGGGGAGCTGGGATTTAAAGGTAGCCCAAGCCCTTATCCCTCTGTACCACCATCAAACGTTTGCATTACAACCCAGCCCCTGGGATCCCTGGGTGACTCAGCGGTTGAGCATCTGCCTTCTGCTCAGGGCGTGATCCCTCCGTCCCAGGATCGAGTCCCACATCGGGCTCCCTGCATGGAGCCTGCTTCTCCCTCTGCCCGTGTCTCTGCCTCTCTCTGTGCCTCTCGTGAATAAATAAATAAAATCTTAAAAAAAAAAATTAAAACCAGCCCCTAACTTTTGTAACAACGGAAAAAGTTACTTCCTGAGAAGTCTGATGGCGAGGTTTCAGATCTTGATAGAGGGTATTGGTTGCACAGGTGTGTGCATCTGTCAAAACTCAGCAAATTGTACCTTAAGATTTGTGTATTTTGCTGTATATAAACTTTTCCTCAAGGAGTAAAATAAACCTGACCCCTCTCTCGACCCAAAATGATATTCTAGGAGGTAATAGGAGTCCCCATTATGTCCCTGAAATGTTCTTCCCTTACTTTGCCTCTTCAGTTCCTACTCATCCTTGGGATCTGAGCTCAAAATCACCTGCTCAGTAAAACCTTCCCTGATCCCCAGATTAGAGAGGGGCCCTGCCATAGGCTTCCTGCATTTTCCTTCGTAGCACTTGTTCAGTGTTTGTCTGGTTGGTTCTTCAACAATCTCTATCTTCCCCACTGGGCTGTAAGCTCCAGCTCGCCACTCTTCCCCCAGCGCCAGACACCCAGGGCTCAATGTAGAATGCTGAATACATGAGGGAGGGAATGGATGAACAAGTGAGCTAGTGCTAGGTACTTTACAGACATTGCCACTAATCCTCACAACACATTTTTGAGATCAGTATTATCATGTCCCACTTTACAGATGAGGGAACTAACATTCAGAGAGGCTGAGTAACTTCCCTAAGGTCACACAGCCAGAAAGTAGTGGCCTAGAAATTCAAACTCTGGCTCTCAATTCTTTTAACTAAGTTGTGCTGCATGAAAAGTTCTAGGTCTTCCCCATGTCCTAGTAAAAATGAACCCCATGATTCAAGGTCATGGGACTCCCTGGGCTCCTCAGGGAAGGGGACACTCAGACTGGACAGAATGTCACACAGTACCTTAAAGGAGGCCAGCGTGGCCTCTGCTCACCTGTACCTTCTCAGTGGCCTTGCTTCCCAGCGCAGGTACATTATTTGCCTGCTGCTGTTTGCAGGGAGATGCCTGGCCTGGGTTTTGTGAATCCGGGATGATATATGGACCCTGGGATCTGAGAGCTCTTTTTGTGTTGGGAACTTGAGCTGAGTAAAGATGTTATTTTTCGTCTTCTTTCAAGCTTTTTTTGCCCATCTTTTCTTGACTCTGGATGCTCTGCCAGCCCCCTGCTCTGTTTGGCTCTGATGAGAGGAGCTGATAAAGGGACTGGTAGCCCTGGTGTAAACCCTTTTACTGCAAACAGTGGCATGGTGCAAACAGACACAGGGCAAGGGGGCCTCTGTCTGCATCAAGATGCAGAGATTTCTGGGGCGCCCGCGGGGCTCAGTTAGTTAAGCACCCAACTCTTGATGTCAACTCAGGTCATGATCTCAGGGTCGTGAGATGGAGCCCCCCCCCCCCACCTCCTGGGCTCTGTGCTCAGCAGAGAGTCTGCTTGAGGTTTACTCTCTCCTATTCCTCCCTCACTGCCCCCTCCATGGATGTTCTCTCTCTCTCTCTCTCAAATAAATAAATCTTTAAGAAAGAGAGAGAGATCGAGAGAGAGAGACAGAGAGATGAATATTTCCTGACGATGGGCCAGGGCTCTCCTGGAGTGTGTGCATGGATGCATGCATGTGCATGCGTGTGCATTTGTCACAGTCAGTGGGAGGGGCAGATCCAAGCAGGGTGGAAGAAGCCAGGATCCAAAGCCAGAGAAACTCAGTGCAGTCCCAGCCCCCAACTGCAGAAGTGCATGATCTAAATAGCACTACTCGAAGTGTGGTCAGCAGAGGGTGCCAAGTCCAGGAACTGTGTGTCCCTGGTCTCTGACAAGATAAGGAGTCTGGGCCAGAATATAAATCACTCTTCTCATCAATCACATTGTTTAGTTCAGCGGGCAGTACTTTGCAGCAAGTCTTTCTCTGTAAAGGAAACAGCAGGCATTTACATTCTGGCTCAAGCCTCTTGTCCAGGACTCTAAGGAACAGTTCATGGATTGCAACTTGGAGAAGCTCTGGTCTGCAACCCTTCTCAGCTTCAAAGTGCATGATCCGGTCAAGCTGCAGATTCTGGGCCTGGGCGGTATGTGTGGGCGGGGGAGACTCTGCATTCCTAACAAGTTTCCTGGTGGTGCCCACGCGGAAATAGCAAGCACTGAGCAGCTTCTACTCAACAAAATATTCGTTTCTTTCCCTTAAACTAATAAGGCTGTGCTGAAAGCTGTAATGCACAGAAAAAAAAAATACAAGGATTTTTTTTGGGGAGAAGGTATTATGGCTAAATCGTCCCAGAAGAAAACTTTCTAAAATGAGAAATGAGATCTCATATGTTATATTTGGTTTTCTTTTTGCTTGTCTACATTTCCTGATTTTCTATAGTAAACATATACTTATTTTATTTTTTATGTGGAATTAAAGAAAAGAAAAAACGAACGAACAAAAAGCAGAATCTGGTATATAAATACAGAGAATGAACTGATGATTGCAGGGGTCGGTCAGGAGGGAGGTGAACAAGGGTGAAAGGGACAAGGGATTCCTGTCATGGAATCAGTCACGTACCCATTTTGAAAACATGCAACGGGAAATTCTAGAGGGTGGGAAGAGGCAATGCAGGGGGGGGGTGGCCACCTTTAATCAGGAGCCCTTTGCTACTATTTGTATTTGAAGTTACCTGCATGTGCTACTTTAAAGAAAACGCAGTGCAAACTTCCTGCATACATGTTCTACTTTGATAAAGTTTATATACATGCAGGGAAAAACAGAAGCGGAAGTGAAGGTCAAAAAAAAAAAACAAACAAAAAAAAGAAGTGAAGGTCAATGGGCATTACTGACTTGCAGGAGCCAGGCATGCTGTGTCAGGTACTCAGATCCCCATTACAACTCTCATTGTGCAGATGAGAAAACAGAAATAACTTGCTTGCCGGTCACACAATGGTGAGTGGCAGAGCTGGGGTTTGAACCCAGGCAGCTGATTCTGCATCTTATTCCTGGAATAAGGAATGGGCAAAATGGGTAGGGCTCTGATGGGCAGAGATGAGCTGGGAGTGGGGGGCTGGGCAGAGAACAGGGAGGTAAGGAGTGGGAGGTGGGGCATGTGGCCTAGCAATAATCCAGGGTGCCCACAGCAGGACAGGTGGAGTAGGGCCCAGCTGGACTAGACTGAAAAGGGCTGGAAGGCCAGGAGACGAGAGCCAGGAGCCACTGATCTGGGCAAAGGGAGCTGAAAGCCAGTTATGGAGTTCCAGCCAGGGGGATCCTATTTTATTATTGCCACAGAAATTTTGTGGGCTTTGTTTTATTCCTCAAATGAAATCTCATGAGGTAGGTGGTTGCTCAGAACCTGTCTTCACTTACCTTCCTCACCACAAGGGACTCATCTAGGGGGACCCTTGGCCTCTTCATACCCAGCCAAGCACAATCCTCCGCCCCACCCAGGGGCTCCCCAAGCCTGGTCTGGCATCTTCATTTTACAGAGGAGGGGAACAGTAAATGAGGCCTAGTGACTGGCAGAGGCAGGACCAGACTCTAGGTCTTCTGACCTCAAACTGCACCACCACCACCACCACCACCACCAAAATAAGAAAGCAAGCCAGACATTTCTCAGGCCAGAGACTGGGGAGAACGGCTGTCTACAATGGCTGAGAGCCCCGCACAGTCTGCTGAGCCCTAGTGAGCGTGTCTGAGAGCATCTGAAGGTCACTGAGGGTTGGGAAGAGGGACACTCCGCACCGCACACCACGAGTTTGTAGGTCGCCGGTTCCCACAATGGCCACTCTGAGGGGCTGTGTTTGAGTTTGACAAGACGTTGCTCTTGCTCCTCGTTTCATCAAGTGGCCCAGGAAATGGTGGCTGAACCCAGGACAGTTTTCACTGTGCTTGAGAGAATGGAAAGTTTTTAAGTCTCTGACGGGCTGGGCATGGAAGGAGGAGGAGAATAGGATGAGGAACTGCACTCAAGATAATCCAAACTGCTTTCCAGGGGGCAGGACTCTTCTGCCTTTTCCAGATTCTCCATAGACCGTCTACATGTTCTTTCTGGGTCCTTCTCCTTCCTTCTTACTATTTATTATAAAATACAGTGACAATGCCAGCAGAAAGCATAAGAAAGCTCATGAATGTCCCCCCTCTAGGACTTCAAGTGTCCTTGACAACTGGCTTTCTATGCACTCTCTTTGTCCTCAGAAGACGTGTTTTTTCTTTTTTTAAGATTTTATTTATTTATTCATGAGAGACAGAGAGAGAGAGACAGAGAGAGAGGCAGAGACAGAGAGGCAGAGACAGGCAGAGGGAGAAGCAGGCTCCATGCAGGGAGCCTGACGTGGGACTCGATCCTGGGTCTGCAGGATCATACCCTGGGCCAAAGGTGGCGCTAAACCGCTGAGTCACCAGGGCTGCCTAGAAGACGTGTTTTCACTTAGTTGTAATACACAGGCACTAAGCTTTGTACTTACTGTACTTAAAATGATATTGTAAACATTTTCGTATGTTGCTATGCAGTCTT